TTTTTCATTCATTTCTGCTGATGATTATCAGTCTTGCTACAAATATATACACACATTACGAAGTGCGGGTGCTTTAGAAAAAGCGTAAAAAGCTTCATCTTTGCTCAGAAAAGTAACAGCAATTCGACAGTCCTGATTTATTTTTTGGTTATTGTAAAATGTCTTTTAGTGTTAAAAATTTTATTTTAAATAAAGTCAAAATCCTTCTCACTTTTCCTGTCACGTAAAGACATTCCGCAATTGTTCAAGCGACAGCATCCATCTACTGCCAAGACTACCGATGGCCTTTTCGCTAATTTTTTAACTGCAGGGAAAAAAGCCAGCAAAGCCCGAAAAGCAAGCATTGCTAATTTAAAGAAATTTATGCTTCGAAATCCACACAAGAAAACGTACCATGAAATCTTCCTCAGCATCTAAAGCGCAAATTCCTCGGCCAGAGCTGTCTTGTCGAAGCTTTTCGTTTGCAGCCACGCGGAAAATATGGTTGTCCTTGGAACGTGTATCCCAAAGACGAACCGTACCATCCTCGGATGCACTGAGAAACACATTTGCTGACTGCAGTGCTAATTCATTAACGTATTCGTCGTGACCACTGTACGTTGCAATTATCTGCAGTGGACATGAAATATGATGCACAGGTTAAAGTTATTTCATGAGCCGGTGACCGGCAACTATTAAAACTCGGCTCGGCTTGGCTGAGTCGGGAGGCGGATTGCGATGGCTTGGGAGTGCCGGATGGAAGACTGGAGACGAGGGAAGAGGGTGAAGAAGGGGAATATTGATTTATTTCTCAGAAGTCGTAAGAGAGGGAGGAGGGGAAAAGAGCATGGAGCTGTTGAAACACGAGTCGAGATCTTGCCTGGAGGTAGGAAATGAAACAGAAAGAAGGATTTACAGGAGAGGAGGATCATATGTAGGTCCTTTATGCTTAGCCTAAAACTTAATACTGAGGAGGAGTTAACAGAGTTGAATGTGACAACCAGAACCATACCTAGACAGAAGTTCTATACTACGATTTTTGCAGTTTGAATCTGAAAATAACCCAGGCTAGAACGCACCGGACAAGCCCGTGCGTTCATGCGTTTTTGCACCGGACTTGAAGTAATCAGGCCGTTAACTACATAAATGGTTGTTGCTTTACATCTACCTTTTGCGGACACTAGCATAAATCACCAATAAATCTCGCATAAAGTAAATGTACAACTTCCATTTAACGCTCTTTCTTTAAAAGCAACCTAGCTGTCCCGTGAGAAATTTTTCCGCCAAAACTTTTAACTGCCTGTACTTAAGAACCACGTATACCTCAAGGCTGAATTTGAAATACTTAAGTGGTACTTGGACAGGGAACATTACCCTAAGATTTCAGCTTTCTAGCTTTTCTGGTTCCCGAATTAGTAATTTCCCCGCAAAAACTTTCATACGCCCTTACGTGAGTACCACGCAAGACTGGGGGCTGAATTTGAAATCTTTAGCTAACACACGTACAAGGAACATTCTTATAAAGTTTCATGCCCTTACCTTGTCCGGTTTCCGAGATCTCTTTCCCGCTAAAAAATCTGCATATTTTTTTGAAGCGTCCGGAGGAGAGGGGGGTTTATTTTAAAAGGCGAGGGTCGTGCACTGTATGGGCACATACTCCCAAAGTTTCAGCCTTCTAACTTTTCTGGTTCTCGAGTTGAAACTGAGTGACAAAAAGTGCGAACACACAGACAAACACAGACAACCTCTGCCAAATATGCGTTTTTGCAATTTACATATATGCAGAAACGCATAAAAATGAACATATATTGCGCAGCCAGGCTGCTGAGTTTTGATAGTTACCTCTGTGACGTACAGCTAGTGCTGGCTAATAAATCTGCATATATTCAGCCGCTAGTTTTCACTGTTGGTGCAGTAAATCTCTACATACTTTTGACGTAGGCGATGGGAAGTATGCAGGGAAGTAATAGGAAGAATTACTGATGTATAACCATAACAGAACGATAGGTTACGCAGTTTCTTCTTACGAAAGAAGGGGATCGACAGTTTTTCTTACGAAAAAAGGGGATCGACAGTTTCTTCTTACGAAAGAAGGGGATCGACAGTTTCTTCTTACGAAAGAAGGGGGCCCCAAATTTGCCGTATTGACGTGAAAAAAAAGACGATTTTAGATACAGTAATCTCAGAAACACTTCGAATCGCTCGGGTGGTATGAAGGTGTACCGAGAGCTGAACAAAATATCGTGTGCCAGTACTACTGCAAAAGAGAAAGTACCTTATCGGGGCGTTCGATGCTCGCCAGGCGTACTGCATTATCCATTGCGCCAGCATAGAGAATTCGATCGCCGTTCATCATTGCTAGCGCATTTATTTCATTTGGTGGCGCAGCCGAGATATTCGTTGGAAAAGCGCTGAATCTGCAAATTGGAGCGAGCTGACCACTCTGCGAGAAGCTGCCCACATCGGCCCAAGTGTAGACAGAGAGCTGACCAGCCGCATCACCGCACACCAATCTGTCGAGGATGCTGGTCATCGCATAGACTGGTTCGGTCACTTCCAAATGACATTTGTACTGCCGTTCCTTGTGCGAAGCGTTCGGCTCAAGCGCTTGAGATAGTTCAAAAAAGCACAGTCGTGCCAGTGAGTCCGCCGTCACCAACCATTCCCCTGCAATAAACTTCACTGTATTTGACAGGGAATGAAGTCGGATTTCGATAAAAAGCTACCGCAGCTCGATTTTTGCACCAACCAGATAAAATGCCGCCCAAACACGCCTCTTAGCATTTTTGACTTCTTTGGCTTAGATATGACTATTTCCAACTCCAAGCAAAATGCCCCTTCGGCAACTAGTAAAGCTTGAATTTTTATTCATTTGGAATAGTTCGGGATATTTCGTTTTTCGTGT